GATATGGAAGCAATATACTAAATTACTTTTGCTATAAAACATTGTTGCAGAATATGTTTTTTTAGAGCATTTCATATCGACCTCCAGCTAAATGCAATTATGCTAAATGACTTTTGCTACAAAAAATTAGTTGCAGAAGTGTTTTTTTTTAGAGCATTTCGTATTGACCTACATATACATTCAACATGAACAAAATAATGGACACAATATAAAAATCTGATCACAAATAAAAAATCATATTTCATACTATATATATATAGTCCAACATGGATTTTTATGCATGAGAGCATAAAAATCCAAATACACTATCACATGTGCATAACCAAAAGAACAGCATGCACCCACATTTTCCTTTTTCTACCTATCTATCTGTGCTAAACAACAAAAAAATGCCACTATGTCACACATCTAACACATATATGCAAACAATCCTAAAAAGATGGTCTACCCCCATGTCAAAATATCTATTGGCCATACAACACAAAAATAACCATCAATACCGTTAGCATGTCAAATGTCACCAGTTCCGGTATTTGAAATAGTTGTAGCTGATGAGGACGAGTCTTCATCAGTTCGAGAAGGCAAGTGCTGTCGAGTTGAGCCTTATCAGATTTCTCTAGTTTAAGGGCTATCGTTAGCTGCTTCATCATCTCTAACAGGACCAATTGTTGGTGTTCAAGGCTTTTTATTTCTTTTTTTATTGACAAATAAGATAGCTGGCTCAACTGTTTAATATTTTTCTTGTTGTTGCACAATGCACCTTAACTCTACTTTACTGCAGTGGATTGATGCTCAATCTGTGAAAATGCAAAATTCTTGTTAAATTCGAAAGCTTTACCCAGACACTTCCTGACATATCTCAGCTTCGTTTTTTCACTTTCCCCTTCTTGCATTTCCTCTTGCAGCTCTATCATTTTTCCTACCATCAATTGAATGCATAATCAAAAGTCAACCAACAAAGTAAATAGCAACATAAAAGAATACTACAGCACAAACAAAAATATTCTGATGGAGTAGAGAAGCAAGTATCTCAAACATTATCAATCAATACTAAAAGAAAATTTCCGACATAAGGTTTTTCTATACACATATAAGCAAACAGATTTACATTCACATATCCATGCATAAACAGCTAAGTAATTGGAAAGATAAGGGCTGAGCATTTTCTAAATATAATCATTCTGCAAGAGGCATTTTATAAATCTGTGTTTTAATTCTGCAAGAGGCAAAACAAAGCCATATGTATAAATCTGTACATGCATTCCCATTTTCAAAGTGTTTTAAATCTGTACTACTCATCAAGTGTAAATCTGTACATATGCATTTCCCATTTCCCATACATGATCTTCAGCAATCATGAAGCTGAATATTTCGAAAATAACAAATTCATTTCACAAGATGATGTGCACAATTTAAATCATTATGATTTAGGTGGTTTCAATCAACTGAATCTCAATTCCATGGAGAAAGACTTCACACCCACCACACACACACACAAAAATATAGGAAAAAACAAAAATCTAATCTCATCCATCCAAGTCAAGCGATACGACATTCATATATAATTCAGACAATATAATATCTACATCATTAAATCCAAACTGTTAAGCTCAATCCAAACAGATTATAAACCATGAAACATGTTTTTCCTACTAGAAGAAACTCCAACTCTCACTTTAAAAAATACAAACTGTTAGTTCAATCAAGAGAAAAAATATAACACAAGTTAAATTCCAGCCTTATCCTGCAATGTTTGTAACATATCAATAACAACCACAACAATGTTATAAAAGTTTGGTAAGGAAAACTAAATGCCAATAGCAAACAAATGCACAAGCAGCAACCATACAGGTGATCAAAAGATGACAAAGAAATGCAATGAGACTCAAATTAAAACAATAAAAGTATGGCAGTATGGAACAGTTACGAAAAAACAATACATTTATACCCAATTGAATGGTAAGACATTTCATATATCGATAATTGAAAGATGATCAACTTACATATAGCTCTCTTGTTGTTCATTTATCCACCCTTTCTCGACGCTCCAACGAGTGTCATGAAATAATTGTATAGGACCGACAGATTCCCCAAGTTGGTGCGCCTTAACAGTTCATATCGTCATTGACCATAAATTGAAATAAAATTAGTAAACAGGAAAACAAAGTTGTATATTTGTATAGGTGAATCATATAAATACCTTTTCCTTTTTGTGCTGGATAAAGTTCTTGGAACCACCGCAATGGTTACACCTCATCTTCGACGGTTCTCAGAAAAGTTTTTCAAATATAAAACATAGAAAGCAAGTTCCTGTCCTTTAAAAATGACCAAAGGTCGTGCAAACGGATTGTTTTCAATATAAACTTCTTATTGACAACTCCATTAATGATATGACATAGATCAGAGACCAAAGGTATGCTTTGGAAACTACTTGATTTCCCGAAATAATGTGATCAAATGGTACATATCTTATCATATCTAATTCACAACCATTGTGGCAAGTGGTGCAAGCACGTAAACAAGAAGGATAACAGGTAGCCTACAATTCAATTACTATAAAGACAGAAAAAAGGTCAGTTACTTCTTCAATTTCGTAAAATAAATCATAATAATTGATTTTCACACCTTAAGTGCTTAAACCACCTAATAAGTATGGACCATGGCAGAGTGAAATTGAAGATCAATTACTTTCTTCAATGATATCTTTTGAGAGAATAAAAAATTTGTAGGGTCTAAGAAAACTCAAAAGCACTATAATGGCCAAATATTCTATTGACAGATCTTTGTTATTTTATAGATTTAATAAGTAGGCCTAGAGAGAAAATGAAGGAAAGCTTAAGAAAATCAGCCAAAAAAAAAAAAAAATTAGTTTTACAAAAATCTTGGAAGAAACCATATTTAAATTTGCAAAAAATTTGCAAACGGTCATGCTTTATTTTTCCAGCTTAGGAATATTTATAGATACCAATTGGATGGAAGGCCTCTTATAGCTAACATATTGACTTTTACACATTATACGTTTTAGTGACTTGTTGACATGGACAATTTATTCCGCTTACTACTCATCATTTCATTAGAAAAAGAACTACATACAGATACCAACTATTTGTCATGTACATAAAATTTTAACTCCAACATAACCTGTCCCCCTATTGTTCTTTGAGAATGCCTTCTCTGTACAACTGGTGCTGTGATATAATTCCTTTTGTAGCAAATTTTACGCCGATATTCACAAATAGTTTTGTTGCTACAATATATGTTTCTATATATATGGAGAAGACTATTCATTTATAAGGCATATATGCAGTCATCTGATTTCTTATTCAAAGATCATACACTAATAGCCAGAAAATAAAAAGTCTTGTTCAAAATAACCTTCAAATGCATGTTCCTCTTATTGATTAATAAAATCTTTTCTTCAAACACATTTTCTTCTTCTTGATCTCTCAATTTACTTCAATTCTTTCCCTATGAGTTACATACTGAAAATCTATTTGCCTAGGAGAAGGTACATGTGGCTTCTTCTAATGAGGTTGGAAAATCATTCTTCAGATAGTGTATTTCATATGGGTTCTGATTTAGAAGATAGTGAACTTATTTTCTCCACTGTTCACTTAATGTGCTTGATTTTCTTCTCATCTTATATTCATTATTTCCCCATAAATACAAACACGGCCCCAATGCAAGTGAATCCCAATACTGTAAGGTTTGGTAGCAATGTTACTTCTGATCAACATGGATAAGTACAGTATTTTGTATGAGTCTAAACTCCAGGAAAATAGGATACAGAGGAGTGATTCAATCTTACCCCCTTTGAAAAGATATAACACTTTGGCTTCGTTAAGGATTGATCTTTCCAAAGGAAGAGGAGAAATACCTATAGCCATAAAGGTAAGAGATTGCTAGGAAATGTGTGATCCATAGAGAAAACTATGAATAACAAGATGATGTAAAAAATCTGGCGGCTAGAGCGCTGCATCAAGGAAAAAGGTTAACCATTTTCCAAATGAACGCCCTTGTGAATCTCTTCCTTGATGATAACACTGAGCTTGATTCTCTAGATAATTTGCATAATAGCCACTGGAGAAGGCACTTGATACTTTCTAAATCATAATATATCTACTAATCTTAATCTATACAAGAATGCAGGACAAAGAATGAGAAAATCAAATGATAAAGATGTAGAACAAGTGTTTGAAGAAAAGACCACCTAAAGTAGTAAATAGGAAAATGGCAATTGAAGTTTATTCTTAACTAACATTTCCTCTTTTCCAACTCAGGAGCTTTCCAACTGAAGAAAAGGAAACCTTCGCAAACCATATTGAGAAGGTATAGTAAAGATAGGCATCAATTTGTCATGTGTTTGTATACCTGTTGATAATTTCCTGCCTAAGACAAGGGTTAATAGGGGGAATTGTGAGAGCTATAGTTCTATGTACATGCAAGTAATTGTTATGTGTATAACATTCTTTTTAATTCAAACATTTACATATTGAGAAGAATAAAGAATAGACATCAAATGGAAGAATCAATATGATTGCCAATAGGAAACCTTTCTTCAATACTATGAAGGCTTTTTTCAAATTTTGTTATATAAATGCCGCTAATGAGAAGAAATAGTCTAACACTTATACTTCAACAAAAGTCTGAGCACAAGTTTCTTCCAGAGAATTCTCTAGAATCAATTCTTTTGATTGAACATTGTTTCATTTCCTACTTTCTCATTGACCATTCTTATTAAACCTGATAAACTAGAGTAAATCATATATGAGTAAATCCGACAAAAAATAAACATGGACTGAAATAGGCCAGAAATCCTAATATTTCCTTCTCTTTTCAGACTACAAAAATGACTAGCATGGAAAGGCATGGATGAAAATTAAAACTCAAATATTGACTAACCATCAAGGGAAGCTTTAAGAGGGCCAACGAACTCAGGAAATCAATTTTCAATTGCTTTTAATACATCATCAGCATTAATAGTTTGCCTCTTGACTCTGATATATCATTAGCCCTGCAAGTAATTTTCACCCCAAAACACTAGTCACAACAAAAATTCATACGCAAATTCTCTTAACAAAAAATTTGTACTAACACAACGTCATGTTGCAAAAACCACATAAGAGCTTCCATATAGTCATCAAATCCCAAGCAGTTAACTTAATTTAACCAATACCCACTTGACAAACCTTCAATCATCAACTTTCGAAGAAAAAAATTGAACTTTTGCGATAAATTTCAAAATATCCAAGATTCACCTAAGAAGTAAATATAAAAACTCTAAATAGTGAGTTGAAACAATGAGATGGTGGTTATTGCTTACGTGGCGGAGAGGTAGTGGATAAAGATAGGGGCGCTTTCCGAGAAAGCGAGAAGGGAGTCTTTGTTGACGGTGATGTCGGTATGGGTGAACACTCATGAGCTTATCCTTAACCACTCTGCGCACGATAGTCTTGGGCAGCTCTTCCATCTCTGATACCACTCCTTCGTTTCCATCTCTGAAAGAACCTTTGATTTTTCGTTCAAATATTCTGTCAAAACAAGGTGGGTTTTCCATCATAAATCAAATATATTCCATCAAATATAAAAACGTAATTTACTAATCAACACACAAATTACTGTAAACAAGAAACGGTATGAGAGAAACATGATCTTTCTCAAAATCACCTATAAATAGTATGTTACCAGTTTCCTACACATACATACCAAGTCTGACGTGATTCATCAATCCATCAAATGAGCACCAACTGAAACTTCTTCTATTAGGGTAATCGCTAGGGATTTGCGTGGAGAAGAAATTGGGAATTTGGAGAAACAGGGAGGGATTTGCGTGGAGAGGAGAAGAGAAGAGGTAGGTAAGGTTATGAGATTGGGAATTTGGGGAAATAGGTAGAGATTTGCGTGGAGAAGAGAAGAGTTAGGCTATGAGATTGGGAATTTGGGGAAATAGGTAGGGATTTGCGTGGAGAAGATTGAGAATCTGGGGAAATGCTTGCTTTATATAGGTTAGTTTTTCTGTAAATAACTTTAAAAATAAGACTTGTAATTAGTTATTTAATTTTTAAATATAATTATATTTTACAAACACATCAATTTGCAACTAAATTTTTAGTCAAGAAATAATTAATTATAGTTGCAAGACTAGCGGGAACAAATAATTTGGGGGGAAGATGAATTTTTCAACTTAAATTGGCAACTAAACTGAATTTAGTTGTTGTATATAATTTTTTGCAACTATTGTTAATATGAACACAAATATTTATTGCTAAAAATGCCCGGGGACCCTTGTAATTATTGTCCAAATATGGGATATTTTGGTAATTTAATTTTTCTGTAACTAATCATAATAGTTACTAATACATTCTTAATTAATCGCAACTAATTTAGCTACTAACGAGTAGTTGCAAAAAAATGTTTCTTGTAACTAATAATGTAGATGCAAAATAAAATATTTTAGATGCAAATTGTCAAATTATGGAGGGAAAAATGGCCCACAAAAAATTGCAACTAAATTTATTAGTCACTAAAACAATTTGTTCTGCAACTAACAAAATAGTTGCAGAACATTAAGTTTAGACGCCAAAAGTTGAAATATGTGGACCCCAAAATTGAGTCGCTCTTTGCCTGATTAATGACAATTTAGTAGGTAAATGTAGCCTTTTTGCAACTAATTCTGGTTAGTTGCTAAAAAATTGGTTGCAGAATGTAGTTTTTCTTGTAGTGAATCTCGCCGCTGTCTAGCCATCTGCAACGTCCACCACCACAGAGCTCAGCCACCTTTCAATCAAGCACTCCCTTCCACTAAGTCAACTCATAGCTGGAGACCTTGTCAACCACCCGAGAATCTTGCAAGGTGTTACTGATGATGTTGTTGTCTTCCCAGCTGAAGGCTCCTCTACGCTTACTATTCTACTAATATATGAAGCTCCAATTTGCATGGCTATTGGAGACTTTTTGTTCCACGCATTTTGCCTGGGATGTGGCTTTGATGAGTTGAGTACTCATTTTGTTGGCTCAAACCCATGTGTTGGGTCTAAATTGTATTGATTTCAATACGCAACTCTTATGCTTATATAGTTTGAACATTGTTTTTTTTCCAAAACTAAATGTTGTGGTTGAATTGCTATTGGACTTCCATTATGTGTGAAATCGGAAGTTGCTTGTTAATTCCTATGCAAAGGCCTAAAATCATTCCTAAGTTCGCAAATGCAAGTCTCAACTTTGATGAATTGTTTGCGTATGTAACCTTAAGCCTTTATTTATTTATTTTTTTTTAATTATTATTTTTTTTTTTAATAGTGGACCATTTGAACTATACCTTGCATCTTTATTAGAAATATAGATATTCCAATATGTATGATGTTTAGGCTTATGGATATTTGCATAGTGAGATGGATAGAGTATCTTGCACCAATGGCTAAGATTTGAAAGTAATTACAATTTGGTAAAGATTATTAGNATATCCATGCATAAACATGCTAAGTAATTGGAAAGATAAGGGCTGATGCATTTTCTAAATATAATAATTCTGCAAGAGGCATATTTATAAATCTGTGTTTTAATTCTACAAGAGGCAAAACAAAGCCATATGTATAAATCTGTACATATGCATTTCCCATTTTCAAAGTGTTTTAAATCTGTACTACTCATCAAGTGTATAAATCTGTACATATGCATTTCCCATTTCCCATACATGATCTTCAGCAATCATGAAGCTGAATATTTCGAAAATAACAAAATTCATTTCACAAGATGATGTGCACAATTTTAAATCATTATGATTTAGGTGGTTTCAATCAAACTGAATCTCAATTCCATGGAGAAAGACTTCACACACACACACACACACACACAAAAATATAGGAAAAAACAAAAATCTAATCTCATCCATCCAAGTCAAGCGATACGACATTCATATTATATATTCAGACAATAATAATATCTACATCATTAAATCCAAACTGTTAAGCTCAATCCAAACAGATTATAAACCATGAAACATGTTTTTCCTACTAGAAGAAACTCCAACTCTCAGCTTTAAAAAATACAAACTGTTAAGTTCAATCAAGAGAAACAATATAACACAAGTTAAATTCCAGCCTTATCCTGCAATGTTTGTAACATATCAATAACAAACCACAACAATGTTATAAAAGTTTGGTAAGGAAAACTAAATGCCAATAGCAAACAAATGCACAAGCAGCAACCTAATTACAGGTGATCAAAAGATGACAAAGAAATGCAATGAGACTCAAATTAAAACAATAAAAGCATGGCAGTATGGAACAGTTACGAAAAAACAATACATTTATACCCAATTGAATGGTAAGACATTTCATATATCGATAATTGAAAGATGATCAACTTACATATAGCTCACTTGATTGTTCAATAATCCACCCTTTCTCAACGCTCCAACGAGTGTCATGAAATAATTGTATAGGACCGACAGATTCCCCAAGTTGGTGCGCCTTAACAGTTCATATCGTCATTGACCATAAATTGAAATAAAATTAGTAAACAGGAAAACAAAGTTGTATATTTGTATAGGTGAATCATATTAAATACCTTTTCCTNTTTTTTTTTTTTTTAAATCTTCATCCCCTAGTATATTAGTGGTATTTTTTAATGTATTTTTTGGTGGTTTTTTAATTTTAAATTGCCATGCAGCGTCTCTATAAAGCTCAAAGTAAAGGGTTTCGATTCCATTTGGAATTCGATACTTGTCTCAAGAATATCGATATGTGGAATTCAGAATACACATAATTGTTGATACATATTACGTCACACAAGGGAGAAGTTTATCGATCTTTCACTTAATCAGACAAGTGAATAATTTTCTCTTGTAAATGCAGAATAAAGTCTACTAAATGTTGTAACGTGTTTCAATTAATTGAAAGGGGCTTGTTTCATATGCAACATTTAAAAATGGTTATTATTTGATGATTTTTATACCGAAGTTTTCTGGGTATTCTCTCCCACGATGGTGATTTATTGTGCCACCAAGGCAAGTGCGTATTTATTCTAACAAGATGCAACCTTGTAAGATATTTAAATGTCATTTTTTTTAATGTTATTTATTACTTTAATTATATTATCCTTTAGCTTTAGTTTTTCTCTTGTAAATAATAGGAAGACATGGATGAGATACTCTTGAAAATATAGGCTACTATTTGATTCATTTGGTCAAAAATTTGTACATGTCTAAGCACAGGCAAACATGGGGCCGCTTCAAGAAACAACCAAATAAACATTGGAGGCAAAATTTATGTGAAATGAAACAAAAAGAATTTTTTTTTTTTTTTTGGGTAAATGTAATTTTATAAATAAATGAAAGAATAAACACTAAGAAAGGGGTTCCCCTTAAATGTCAAATTCGTTGGACAAACCCAGCGAACAAATCACCACAAAAACATCAAAGAGAAGCAAGGATACATTCCTAACAAATCAACCACCTAGCCCTCTGGGATTGCTAAACAAAAAGAAGACCAGCAAATGAAAAGGAACGCAAGTCTGGTGAAAGAAAAAAAAAAAAAATTGCAGTATAAGCTGTACACGAGGACTAACCACCCAAAAAACAAGATTCATGGACACCGGAAATTGCAGAAATCCCATAGAGCTGCAGTAGCCAAAAAACACTAACATGTGTACCAACCAGCAACCACCACACTCAACACAGCAGAAATCTACAAGTCGTATCTGCCAGAAAATCCAAAAAATCTTGCTCCCCAGCCCATCCAAAACAGCCGACATACACCAGCATTTTCAGACCTTCACAAACCATATAATGTTCATAAGGCATCATCATCTATTTCAAAACACCAGATTGAGGACATCTATATCCCGCTTTGTGCTTTAAGAAAAGCCATGGTTGGACCCAGAGCACTGCTCGTCAGGGCCTTGTACAACCATTGACTGCTCCTTGAGCGCTGTTTTATACACTGATCATCAACATGAGATAGTTCTGCCTTCTTTACACACAAAGCCTGGTTAATTTCTTCCCATGCATTCAATTTTCCATTTCCTACAAAGATAAAAATCAGATAATGAAAGTTCATTTACGTTAATCATAAAGTATTCATGCCGAAACATAGAGATTGCACATAACAGATATAAAGCATTATCCTACGAACACCAAGTACCTCTATCTTTTCATTTTTGGCTTGTTCCCTCAACCATCGTCTCTTGGCCTTTTTACGACGAGCACTTCTACTTGGGAACTGACCACAAAAAAGAATCTCAGGATTTAAAATTATTATTGTTCTTCAAAGAGAGAATGATATAAACTAGCCAAATTATGTTGATAACGATAAAATCATAATGACATAACACATACATCAAGATAATGTTTTCTAATTCAAGTTCTGTGACTATATTCGTTGAAGTCCAAAAGTGAAGAACATGGATTAATATGATTAAAAATCGATCTTCTAAATAGCTAATATTTAGACCGGGATGTGAAGTGGAAAAAGAAAGGGATTATGTTAATTATATAATTAGATCTTTACCAATCTCTTTGAATCCTCGATATAAACCTATAGATGATTTTAAATTTTCAATAGCAATTCACGAGATTCCATAATTTAGATCCAAAAAAGTTAATTGTCATTGTTTTTTTATCCCACCGGTTATGCTTTTGTAGATTTATATCATGTAATCTACAATATTACCGATAATGATTAGATATTAACTGAAGGTTAAATGAAAAACGATGGGAAATTAGGTTAGTCCAAAAAAGAAAAAACAAAAAAAACTAAAGGAGATATGTTTATTCAAGAATGGATTCTATGACTTCTGTGAAAAGAAACTAAGAGAAATGTATTAATAATAATTCAAAAAAGAATATAAAGCATAGACCAGCTCAGTATATATGCAACCATACAAGACATAAAAAGCAATAAAAACTAATCAATAAAGGTGAAAATCATACCAACCATGAAAGGAG